GTTTCTGCTTAATTGCCTATTCACAACAATGCGTAGGTGGGAATGTCGTATTTTTACGAGTTTATTTTTAGTGTTAAAATATATTTAGAGGGCAGACCGTCACAGACTTAATTGTAATGACAGTTGATGACATATGCCTTAATAGAAGTCGAGTAACCATGTAAACAATAATGTTGTAATGTCTCTTTTTAGTGTCAAAATGTGTCCTGTATAAGTACACAGAACACGATTCACCTCCCATAGGTTGACGTACGAGAAAGCAATCAAATTCCGTTTCATTAAAACTACACAGTTCGGGATTAAGCCCTTAAGCCGGCCAGCCGTTCCGGGATTATGGAGCCACGATGCGTTGCCGGGTCGCCCCACTGTCGGCCGACAATCAATGGTGCCAGATTCAGGCTACACGACCTCACCCGTGGGAATTATGGGCCAATCTTATTAACGTTTCATAGAAAATATTGCCTTTAGATATAATTGATTCTGTAATAAGCTTAGAGGAATTAAATAAAATGTTGAGATACTTTTATCAAATGTAATTATTTAAATTTCTGATCCAATGATACCTAATAGATTTCCAGCTGCAGATGATTAAACAAACACATAATGCATTACCTGCTTCCAATCACCCGATTGAATGTCAGACATCAATGGCGTCCGCCGCCCTCACGTTTACAACTCTTGGATCAAAAAGAGATGTTTACACGTCACTTGTATTTCTTATTTCCTGGAACAAAGAGTCGTATAATACATGTATACAGTACCTACATGTTGCTATATCGTGTTGTAAGAAACAAACGACAGTCGGACTGGCTGGCAGCTCACTCGTGCGAACTTACGTAAATGTTACCTATAGGTATAGCGACCGCTTACCCCACAGAAATTGGCCATCCTTCAAAAACTTTCTGCAACAAATCCAATTTAATAATAAAACGCAGGCTCATTGACTTCTAATTTGTCAGATCATCATTATAATGAGGTGGCAATCGTTACAACATTAGCAAATAAATCAATCGCCGACACGCCGACACGCGATCAAACTGACTGGTAATTAGCGCGCCTGTTAGCGTCTGTAAACATCCTAAATTGTTATAATTATTAAACGTTTCATTATCAAACACGATTTTGTACACTCAATACTAATCCCACAAATGCGTCGTATTATTACGTGAACACTTTATTCTGATGTTATAGTAAGTAAGTATAAAGTAGAATTTTCAAAGCAAAAGTTAAGATGTTTGCTACACAAACACGGGCACTTAATATGAATAAAATCTTTGTGAATATTGAAATGGAACGTTACTGTGCGAGCACGTGTGCCCGCACTCGGTGGAAGTAATTTTACCATCGATTCATATCATCAAAGAATTTAGGAGAGGTATCAATATTGAAGTTTGCTAATGGATGGCAGCCGGATCATATTAAAATTGATAAAATGAGAAAGTTATTTGATAAGCAATTCAGGAGATTCAAATCAATGGGTAAAGGGATTTATGCTTGCTTGGACTACAAAATGCAAATAATATTTAAGATGAAGGAATGAATGTTTTAGATAAAGAGGAAAGTAAAGGGACATTCAAATAATATTAAGAAAATCGAAGGTAGGTACAGCACACGAGATACATTGGCTATGCATATTATAAGATATTTACAAGGCCAGGCTTAGTGTCGCCCTACTCCGGCCAAGCCGGCTTTAGGCACACCATTACGTTAGGCGTATGTCTGATAATGGCGGCAATTTTCGTCAATATCACCGAGATACACTTCCCAGCGAGAATTATGTTCGTACAGCATTCACTGTGTCAAGTACCTACTTTAGTAATTTGATCTCCTCCGGCAGACGTTCTGTTTGTGTAACGAGCTTTTGTTGATCTAAAAATAATACTTAGACGTGAAATAATTCAGATACCTCATTCTACACAAGTATTTAATTTCAGGGGATATTTTTAACTTGAATGTACCTACTCCGACTCACAAAATCTTGGAACTTGGAACCACAACAGATGTACCCACATACTACGTTAGATAAGAAACATGTGAAAAAACTTTTATTTCACGCGTGTCTGCGCATTAAACTTGCGGTTCCTTTTTTCAGTTGCAAATTATTTCAATAAGTTACCCGGAGACATTTTCCTCGAAAGATTTTATATGCGAAAGCAGCTATTTATAAAGATCAAACGGAAATGGTGGTCTACAAATCTAAAGGCAGGTAACATGTAGAGCGGTAACGATAGGCAACATTTATCTCTCCGGCCGGCTGTCACCACGGAGCCTCATAAAGCGCGGGTCTGGCAGTCGTCAGGTGTGTTGCGGTGAGCCATCAAATAGCCGAACCCTCGCTGCGGATCGCTTGTCGATACTCTGGGCTAATCGCTCCCCTGGGCGACCCTTGTCGGCTCACATTAGCCGGCTCGCTTTAACGACTCGCTGTAAACACAGAATCGTTAAGATTTTACTCCTAAAATCCCTCCCGTAACTTTATTTCGAGCATTTTCATATTTTGATGCACTTACGGAAGACGTAAAAAGGCGTTAAACAAAATCGCCCCAATGCCCGGGCCCGGCTAAAACCCTCACCAGTTAGGTATCTATGCGTAGGTCTCCATTATTTATGCGTAGTATAGGTAGTCACTATTCCGACTGCGCTAACCCACAATTAATGGAATGCCAACAACAGCTGGATGCCATGATCAAATGGTAATAGTTGTATCCGAACTCTACTAATATTGCCAATAAATACATTAAATAACATAATATTTAGGTGTAGCATAGGAAATATTCTTGTCAGGTTTAACGATCAGCAAAAATCACATTAGTTAGGTACCTACACATGCATGTGTCAGTCTGGTGAAATACACTCAGAAGCCCATAAGTATTGCTAATTAGCTTTGCCAGCTGATATAAGGGTTAATGTAGACTACGTGTTATTACAGACTATAGTCTCTATGTTTGTGCATTCATCAAAATCCATTTCCGTTGCAGTTTTAAAGTGAAAGCGTAACAAACATCCATCCATTCGACATACTTGCAAACTTCAGCGTTTATAATATAAGTATATAGGGATTTCCCAGAATCCTGCCTAAACTAAAATCAAAGTGAAGTGGACTGACATGAAGTTAGTAAGTACGGAACCCTCTCGGAGCGAGTGTCCAGCTCTCGGCAAAGTTTTCAACTTAAACTTACGATTCCTGTGGGAGTGATTGGGTGCTAAGAGTTTGGCCATGAACAGGTACCCATAGACACTTAAGTATGAGGTAGTTAAATACTACCTTCCTTTATGTTCTCTGCTGATGCCTTCAAGAAATTCGTACACATATTATGGTTCATGTTTTTTCTCATTTTGGAGAAAAGTAAGTAAAATTTGTATTTTAGGTGGGTAGGTAGACCTACCTATCAATTCATAGAAAAATATAAAAGCTTTCAGCGCAATCCAATTTCTTGTACAAGCCTAAAATGTTTTGAAAATAAACGAAACACCTACGTTCCAATCGGAACATCCAATACACAAAATAATCACGTTCCTTACTCGGATTGACGCAGACGCTCGTTCACTCACCGCTCCGCTCGATGGAATCCATTCACTCGTTCATTCGCTCAATCATTCACCCCACTTGCGAGTGGATGCATGCCTTTATGCAGAATTATTGAATTTCCGAATCCACATAGCGGGCGCCTGATTCCAGCCGAAGCCGAAGCGCGCAGACAAAAATCCATTTGGCAAATATTTATGCGCGTAATGATGTGGAGAAGGCACTCACTTAAGTACTGTTCGTAATAAGTTCTGAAGTATAACTTGTGTACAGAGTTTATTCAAGTTGTAAGTACATTGTGGCAACAGTATCTACCTACCTAAGTAGTCCGTTCTATGCAGAGTACCAGTAGGTGGGTGCCTAATACATAACAAAGTACTTACTGACTAACTAAACCAGTCAACATTTAGTTTGGCCCTTAAAATACTACTCAGCTATCTAACAAATAGACCAAAATTAGTCCTACACTATATGTCGTCTCGCAAAGGACAAGGCGGAGTGCGTGAAGGAACTATCCTTCTCGTGCCCCAGCCGCCGCAGGTGACACTCCGGCTTCCACCCGTCGTCACGGGTCGATCGACGGCTACCTACTGTAAGTATTAGCGGCGAATAAGCATAGCTCGCTACTTGGCAGTACCAGTCCAGCGTTCCATACACGCCTCAAAAAGCCGCCAGAACACCACAGAAGGGGCCTACTATTATTGACGACTTTTTAACGTCGTCGTTTTTAGGCACAAAGAAAATCTAGAAATGTAATTTGGCTATTAACCACTTCAAAAAAGTAAACCCCTCTAGTGTTGCGGTTTGTGGGTGTCCTTGGGCGGCACGACGTGTCATTACCTACCAACAGGCGATCAGTTGGCTCGTTTGCAGATCTTCGTATTATTTACAAACACAACTTGACTTACATTTACCTGAAACACGAAAACATTGTTTAGTGTGGGAATCGAACCTGCACAAATTGGGCACATTTTTGACACTAAAGCTGCCAGCAGCGAGGAAAGCAGGTTGCCCTGCCACAGTGTCGAAGTAAGTGCAGAGTGTAAAAGTTTAAAAAACTAAAAGGTTAACGCTACTAAAACGCGGGAAATTACGCTCAAATTGAACCTGAACCTTTAGAGTACTCGTTAGTATTGTTGTACTATTCATACTCATTACTGGTATAGTAAAATCAAACATGGCAATAGATAGGTATGAAAAATAGTACTGTTAATACTTTGGTATGTAGTTACTTTACATAGGTAAGGCGATTTGCTTGAATTTTTCCTTCATTTCTTTAGATTGTTTTAAAGATATATCAGTAGGGAATTATTGACATAACTTCAAAATGGATAATATTTTTAGAACACTTAGGTACCTTATTTATTACAATTAAAAGGATTCAATCATAATGCTGAACACAATTAAATAAGTAATGTATAATTAAAATAAAAACGGCTTTAACTTTTTTACGTCTGGCAATACTAATGTTTCCGTCACAATCAAGCAACTAGCAGCACCGCCGTACGTCACTGTCAAAACGCCGTTTAGCTGAAGCATGGAGGTGTTGGTGTAGCGTCTCAGTTTATTTTAAATAAGTTGATTTGCCGAATTACTTAATTGAATAAGTGAAAATAATTGACAATAGTGTTATTGTGAGTTTTCAAGATGTTGGTGCTATTTGAAACATCGGCGGGATACGCCATTTTCAAGGTAAATTCAACACGTGTGTTTTCTAACCTCTCAAAGAAGAATGCTATTTTAATTTTGAATGTAGTACTGATTTTACCTCTTAATTCAAATAACAACAATAATAATAAAGAACATATTGATTAAGCACACATAAATACATAATTTGTTACATTTTGACCGTACGAAACGAAGATATTTTAATTGCACAAAAATATTGTAAACACGTTTCGGTGGCATTTGATCTTGGTATTTAAATATTACTCTTAGTTTAATTAATATGATTAAGTGTTGTTATAAGTTATTGATAATAAATGGAATAGGTATATACCTACCTACCTAATGTATGTGATAATATGGTGCAAGTATCCAAACACAGGTCAGTGAGGAGATTATTATGTATTTAATACTCAGTTATTCATAATTAGGAAAGAGGTTGATAATATTTTATAAATTACTACTGATTTTCGTCTGTATTTTTATGTAAAATATGTTCATTGAAAAGTTCAAACATGAAAGCATAACAATCTGAAACATGTTTGTGTACCTAACCTCTAAAAAAACACTAACTTGAATAGGTTAAGTACAATACTTATGTAAAAGTTTTGTATTTATTGTTATTAATGCAATGTTTTGTTGAAATGTATGATGCAACTAAAGTTGTTAGTTTTTGTGTAATCAATATAAAATGTGTTTAAGTATTGAATAGTTCTCTATTCAGTATTTAAGAACACATTGATTAACAACAGTGTGGTTTTCTCACATTCAGACCGGATACTTTGTGGTATTTTTTACTACTTTCTACCTGCTGCTCGGTTCACTATATCCATTCATGCTTACAAACTTCCACATAATATTGTGAATGTTGTTATATTTTACTTGCATTTTAGTAGTTTTGACACTTTATTATCTTATAAAGGATTAGATGGCATATATATCTTTAGTATTCCACTGCAAGGATGATCTGCAGGCCTACCGGTTGCAGTGGAAAATTTAGCAATTCAATTGTCAATGTTTATGTGAAATCATATGTTTGTAAATGCATCTACAACAAAGGAGAAATGTTAGTGACAATGCAACATAAAAAAAAATATTAACAACTGTATCTCAGTAAACACATGTTATGCAAAAGTAGTATCCCACCATGCTTTGTAATTGGAGTTAGTGATGCCCTAATAGCCCTGTATTATACATTAATTTATTTATTCTTTATATACAATTGCATATTGGAGGACTTAATGCTAGAAGCATTTTCTGCCAGTCATCCTTATGGATATGCAGAGATGTGTGGTATTACAATTAGGAAGTTACGGGAAGTGGAGGTGTTAATCAATTCTAAGTTATATACATAAAAATACTATATAAATATATAATTGTGTTTTATTACATTAAATATAAACACTAATACACATTATTTAAATAAATACTAATAATATAATGTAGACAATTTATTATGCAAGTGGGGAAACTACCATCTTCTTGCTTATGTAATCACACACCCTCCGCTTGAAATACAACCGGCTAGTTGCAGCTCTGATATCTGTGGGAATAGGGTTGCCAGGTCGCTAGGCCTTATAGCCGGACAGACCAGCCCGTTTAGCCGATTGTAAAAAGTTTATGTAAAAAGCCTAACAAAAGCCGGACAGGCCAAACACCAATTATTTGACCAGACTAGCAACCAAAAAGCCTACCTATGTCTAGCTTTATCCGGACGCCTGGCAACACTGCGTGGAAAGCTTATTCTGCAAGGAAATGGCTTGTATGAAGAAAGAAGATAAATCCTATTGTAATATTATCCTTTTGCCGAGTATTGACTAAAATCCCTCATCTTCAAATTTACTTAATATATTTTCATTTGTTATAGTTGCTGGACGAGTCCAAGTTGTCACAGATTGATGACTTATACCAAGAGTTTAATACACCGGAGGGGGCTTCCTCAGTGTAAGTTTTCTTACGTTTTTCCAACCAATGATCTCAATCTAAATTTTTTTGTGTTCTTTTTTCTATTGCGAATTCTGTCAAAACTTGAAGAAATCCAGAAATGCTTGTTGTAAATTGGATTTGGGCAAAAATCAATATAGTATTTTTTGTTTATTTTGGTATTTTTTTTTTTCATATTAATATGTTCTTGCAGGGTAAAACTAAAGAATTTCATAAAGTTTGAAGATACTGCTGAAGCTCTAGCAGCTACCACAGCAGCTATTGAGGGCAAAGTGTCTAAACCATTGAAGAAAGCCCTCAAAAAGTACATTAGCAAGGAGGTGCAGGATCAGCTCCTTGTAGGTGATGCTAAGCTAGGGAGTGCCATCAGAGAAAAGTTTGACTTGCAATGTGTGTCTAACAATAATGTTCAGGAGTTGCTCAGATGTATCCGCTCTCAGATGGACAGCCTGCTGGCAGGTCTGCCAAAGAAGGAAATGACAGCTATGGCCCTTGGTTTAGCTCATTCACTGTCCAGGTACAAGTTGAAGTTCTCTCCAGACAAGATTGATACTATGATTGTTCAGGCTCAATGTTTGCTTGACGATTTAGACAAAGAACTTAACAATTATGTCATGAGATGCAGAGAGTGGTACGGATGGCACTTCCCAGAGCTGGGCAAGATTATCACTGACAATACACTGTTTGTGAAAATAGTCAAGCTGATTGGAACCCGTGACAATGCTTCTCAGACAGATCTGTCTGATATTTTACCTGAAGACTTGGAAGAGAAAGTAAAGGAGGCAGCTGAGATCTCCATGGGTACTGAGATATCTGACGATGATATCTTGAACATACAGAATCTGTGTGATGAAATCATCTCTATCACAGACTACAGAACACATCTAACAGATTACTTGAAAGCTAGAATGATGGCCATGGCACCAAATCTGACAGTTTTGATAGGTGAACATATAGGAGCTAGGTTAATTGCACATGCTGGGTCTCTAATGAACTTGGCCAAACATCCAGCATCAACAGTACAGATCTTTGGAGCTGAAAAAGCTTTGTTTAGAGCCTTAAAAACAAAGAAAGACACACCTAAGTATGGTCTCATCTACCATGCGCAGTTAGTTGGCCAGTGTAGTACCAAAAATAAGGGTAAAATGTCGCGTATGTTGGCGGCGAAGGCAGCTCTAGCGACAAGGGTGGATGCTTTTGGAGAAGATGTGTCTTTCGAACTAGGAGCTGAACACAAAGTGAAGTTAGAGAACAGATTGAGGCTGCTGGAAGAAGGAAACCTGCGGAGAATCAGTGGAACAGGCAAAGCAAAGGCCAAATTTGAAAAGTACCACAGCAAGAGGTGAGTTTTACAATACTACCTTTATGTAATTTGTAGATTTCAGAAAATTCAGAGAATTTCAAGAAAGTTATAGAGTACCAGAACCCATTGTTCAGTGTACTAACAATGTATTTTGTTTGTCATAGCGAGGTGTTCCACTACCCAACTGCTGGAGACAGTACCCTGGGTCAGAAGCCAGTGAAGCGTGAGCACTCACCTGATGAGGACGGCCCCTCGGTGTCCGCCAAGAAGATTAAACTAGAAGATGGTGCAAATAACGTAAGTGTCATTGTAAAATATTTTAATTTTTATGTTTGTGGAGCTTCATATTCGAATAGTATTAATAAGATATTAACTGAATAGTTTGCAAGTATAATCAAATTAATTATTCTTGTATCCAACCTGAACTTGATCTTGATCAACTTGATATTTACAATCTATCTCTTTCATGCAGGTAACACCAAAGAAAGAAAAGAAAATTAAAGTGGAAGTGAAAGAAGAGGCTGAAGACAATAGCCAGGAGGAGCCTGTCTCAGAGAAGAAGAAGAAAAAGAAAAAGAAATCTGAGAGCCAACCCGTCGAGGAGGCTGAGGAAGCTGTAGAGGAACCTAAGAGTGAAAAGAAAAAAAAGAAGAAACGGCAATCACAACCTGAAGAGGAATAGATGATAGGTATAATTGAGGATTGCGGACCCACCACCACCTCACAGATATTATGCAATGAAATAAGTCAGTGCGAAGTCAGGACTGGAAATAATTAATAAGTGTTAATTATTAATTTTCTATTTCTATGGCAACTTTCTCTTTGGTGTTGCCTATACTGCCAGTGTCAAGCTTGTGAATACTTATAGAATCTGTGACTTGCGATTTGTGAACGCCTGTAAACAGATTGAGCAAATTGTCTTGTCAAACTTGTCTTTATAATTGCATTTTATGCAAAGTACATGGAGTTCTGCTGACGTTACGGGTACGTAAATTATAGTACCTTAGATTTTTAGATAGATAGCTATAACATGTGCAGGATGGACAATGAGAAATCCTATAGATAAGGGAGTTGTTGCGTTCTATTTTATAAGTGAAATTGTATTATAACACCAGTTATAATTAAAGATTATATTCGTACTTTTTTGTTTTACTGAATATCTGACCCACTTTTTTATATTTCACGCCTTTCGAACACTCATATTATCAGTATACATATTTTCATAGAACCAAGATGTGTATTAATTAGTTACTTATGTCTTGGTGCATTAGTTTAGGTCCTATGTGGAAAGGAAAAAATAAATTTTCCAACGCTATGAACAATAGTTATACCAAATTGATTCTTTGCTTAGTTCAACCACGTATTTTGTTACGTAAGTACAACCGGGTATTTTGTTTAGTTGAAATCAAATTATTTTTTATTTTAATTTTGACATAAGTAACAATGTACTTACTGCATGAAATCTTGACCCAATTAATAATTGTAAAATGTACATAAACATACTTGTGTCAATATTGACAACTCGACAAAGTACCTATTCTACAAAACCTACCATGAAAACAATGACAGCCGTCCCTAGTCCAAATGTGTAGTCAACTACAACGTAATGAGACAAAAAGACGAAAGTATTTTTTGTAAAAGCCTCGAAGAATGTCATTAAAGAGACGAAAAGGATTCGGGCTTTCAACAAACAGTTGGGCAGCGTGTCCGTTAGGTCAACAGGCCCGCCTGAGCCAGATTATCCCGCAATAAGTGAAGCAAAGCCGCAGCGGCAACACCCCGACGTTCCACAGCATAATGGACGCGGGTTAGTCCACTAATGTCCTCCTTCAACACGACGTTTTGTTTTTATATAATGATAAGCGTGTTTGCTCATTGCCGGGACAACATTTGCATTTGGGTCCAATAAATAAAAGACATTCTACTGCCTTATACTGATCTATAGACGGTGGGTAAGTACTTTTTATCTTTTCATTTTTCTACAGTGCAGACCGGCGTAGTAACATGCTTGCCTAATATAAAGATTCTATCGGTTGACTTTTCTGATAAACCTTTGAAGAAAATACCTATAAAAAGTATGTCGTGAATCAAAAGTAGGTAAAGCCGACTCCAATTTTGCTTGAAAAGGTCAGGGTTCGCTACGTTTAAAAAATATTTGAGTTGTCAAACTTGGCAATTTGCTAGAGCAGGAGGACAACAAAAAACAACACGCGATGTATTATCAAATCACACTTAATAGGTACATATGCATACTACTTTAAACCACACTCTTAGTTATTCTCCAATATTAAAAATAGCAATATTATTGCTAGACTAAAAAGATTTATGAATCAAGCGTTTTACAAAAAACCTGGAACTTGGTCATACTTACTTAATATTAAAACCGATTGAGTAAAAACCATCAAAATCAACTTTAGTCCTTACATATTTCCTAATTTATCTACTCATTAAAAACAAGTAGGGAACAGCAAGACTAGTTCAAAAATTACAAAGATAATACTTAGGTACTTAATAAATTATCTAGCTTGTAGTTAAGTTATACAAAGTTACTGTTTATTTCTCGTAATTCTTGTGAAGCTACTTTTACCGTCTCGTAACAATATAAAACTTAGTTTTGTTTAGTCGAACATTGAAGAAAAATACTCAGTTTTGTATGGCAGGGCGCGGTGCGCGGCGGTAGGTGGCTGTTTGCAAAGTTGTTTGAATAATTTTATTGTTACAAAATTGTTATTTTGAGTCTAGTTTTCTTGTTGCCAATCATGAACTTGAGACCAACAAACCGTATTGAGTTGGTAGGTACTAAATCGACTTCGGGCAGCAGCGATCAACTTTTTATTTTTATAGCTATTCATTAATATTGATTGATCTTATGTTCCAATTACTTATTTAAGTAAGTGTCGGATCTCACTACAGCGGCGTTTTTTATGTTGGATCATGGATCAAGGCTGTGCTGTCCATAGTCAGTGCGGTAGTTGACTCATATCAGCTGATTGAAATAGTTACCTAGACCTACATAGGTACAGCACGCGGTCGATATCGACAACTTTTGGCAAGGATTAACTTTTTTTACTGCATATACTGTATATAATAATATCTATAACTTGACGTGTAATTAGGTAAATATCAAGATGGTTTTAACCAGATAAATACCCATACTACCTATGAATCCCGTATACCTAAAGGTGGGTGAGGGAACCTATTCAAAATACGGGACAGCTCAGCAAACTAGGTAACGAATCACCTGATGCAACACCAAAGAATTTACAAAGTCCAGCCTTTCGCGGGCTTTTAGGAGGGAAGGGGAGGGCAAGGAAAGAATGACTCACTCAAACTGAAACACTACGCAAACATTATTTCACGCCGGTATTCTGTCAGGCCGTGGTATCACTCCGGTCGAGCCGGCTCATTCATTGTTCACCTACACTTAATGTATACCTACCTACTTGATATATGTAGGTAATTTATTTTATCGTTTTAAAAGTATTTATTGATCAATTTGTAACAAGTTAGGCGTGGCTGCGGTTATCTCGTATTGTTACCGGATATTGTATCATAAGCTCTGCTTTAATCTCCGTGGAATTCTACTGAAACACAGGAAGTTTTCAACTTTTTCATTTAACTTATAACTTTGTGGCCACTCAGGTACCTGTTACTAGGGGTTTTGCTGAAGTAGAAGTGTTTTTTCAATAAAATTATTTCTGTAGGTAATAAGTAATCTAATGGTTTTTTTTTGTAAGGGGAAAATCATCAATTGACTTCTCCCGCCCAGGGTCGGGCGGGAGGAAGTGTCAGATTCTTACTGGCTAAAAACCCCCCTGTTCCTTCTCCTGCTCTGGGCCGAGGTCGCGGTACCTCATTGCGCTTACCCTGCAACCCCGGCTGAACATCAGCCCGTTAGGGCCCCGTCTGTGGTGGTCTATTGGCTCTTTGAGGCGCGCGCGGAACGCTACGCGCTGTACCTACGCTCGGGCCTGGTTCTGGTCGGGCGGCGAGCTGCCCTTACTCGCCGACCGCAGACCCGTGCTTACGGTGGCCGGAGATCGTCCTTTGATCCCCGACGCCCGTAGTGTCGCCAGTTAGGGCGGCTAGGGTGTGAGGAGGAGGATTGCTCCCTCACGCGGGCCGCCTCTCTCTTTACGAGCATGACTGCTTCACAAAAGGAGGAGACGGCGTCCCAGTTCCTCTCACTCCGCACCATGGCCTCGACTAAGGCCGGGCGCGAGAGGTCGCCGCTGCCGATCACTTCCCTGAGGACACGACGGTGCTCAGCCCAGGCAGGGCATATCGCTACCGTATGATCCACCGTATCCTCTAGGTGGTCCTCACAATGACGACACTCGGGAAGTAATTTACTGGTAAGAAAGCAAACATAAACTCATATTAAGTATTTCATTAATTAATACTATAAATATAAAGTGTATTGACTTAAAATCTTTCATTTATGATTAAGTGTGGGAGAGCTATGCATTGGCACCATTGTGTCAGCTCAAACTGAGTGATACCACGGTATCGCTGAAAACATAAACAATGTCACTGTGTGGTTGAGGTTACCAGAGGCCCATTACTTTCGATCAAAATTCCCCCAATCCTCAAATCCTTAACACTCAAAAGACCCGAAAACTCAATTGCAACTCATCTGGTGGTGGAGACGATGCACCTGCTAGTTAGCTACCCTAAAACATACAAAATGCATTATCTAGCAGGGTCTCTGTTGGCTAACTTATATAAGCCAATGATATCAATTACGACTACATAAAAGCAACGTTACAAAACACAATTAGCAAGTTTGTCAGCTCCTTAACAAATACATCTATTATTCTGAATGGTATTATATTAATTACACAGATCCAATCATCAGTGACTACTTAGGTATCTCTCATCAATATGTGACCTAAGCTAAGAGGTAGACACAGCTAACAATAGTGAAGCTTAATCCCGGCTCACACGTTTCAATGAAGTCTTGTACTCATGTCTAACAGATTAGTTGACCTTTGTACTCCATTTTCCATGTGTCAGGGTTGCCAACTTCCACCCCATTCATGCACATAAGCACGCGTTTTTGCCCTTCGTTAACTTAAAACTTTTAAATGTCATTTTCGTTTACATCGTAACGTTTTCATAGTTTGATACATACGTCTGACAGGGTAACAAAGGGTGACTGCACGGTTGGCGCGGTGGCTGGGCAACAGGCTGCAATGCAGCGTGTTGCGGGTTGGATTTCCGGACTGAAACATTCTTAGTGTCATCCACAAATTGACATTTCGTGTCTGGGTGTAAGTGTAAATACTCCAATATTTACAGCTTATATGGTTAGGCCATGAAATAAATCAATCACGTCACTCGACTATCACGCTTGCAACCACTCGATTATCAGCAAGACAATAAATCATTCCTTAGATATAGATAGTAATTTCCTTAACCGACCGCAGTAATAACTGCAGGCGGTACAGCGTACAGACTCTAACCGCGGGTCCGTGCGGCGTCCGACCGCTTTATATCCTGCTGGGAACGATCCAGCCGACCTCACCTGACGCTTCGCACTAAAAAAATACAGTTTGTTTAGCTATAGAGAGAGCCTATTTGCACAGCGGTTATAAACACAGAATAATTGCGATTCGTTTGATCGAAGAACGTTTGTTAATAGTACATAGAATTATGTAGCAAAAATAAATAAATGTGGGTATAGGTACCTACTAACTTACCTAATTTACACAAAGTAACAAAACATTCCGGTAACCGAATGAGTCCAAGAGGCCGCAGTCTACCTACATACCTCAACCCTCGATTCTCTTAAAACGAATTCTTCACTACCCAAGCACCCGCATTTACATATCTGTCGACATGGAAGGAAAAATGAAAATTATTCAGAGTTCTGAATACTTTAGTTACTCAGATACTTTCACTCGTTTTGTTAACACGAGAAACTTGTGGCACCGCCAGCTTGTTCCCTCCGCGTCACTTAGATACCTACCTACTTTTTGAGGTTATGTGTCGCATAACTTCCAGTTACTTGTTATGATGCACGATTTATCTAATTCTTCGTCTTTGAAGAACTCAAAAACAGGAAAACTTAGTTTTTCTGTTTTTGATCCTTTTGATATAGCACCAATACCGTGTTATTTGCACTAAGTATTTATACCAAGGAGCATAAAAAAATTACACAGTCACTTTTTGCGAAAATATACAGCGACTGTCAATTATTTTTACCAGTTTCCTCCTTCCAGTAATAATACACGTGCTTCTATTAGCTCGTTGTAAATAAAGAAGAACAATTCCGACACCAGCTATCATCGGAAATGAATATTTCATAACAAAATTGGTGCTTAGATAAAATTTGACGGTTTGAGGAAAACACATGATATTTCCGGGAAGCCTCTCAGTGCGGTTATCCGATCAAATAGCCTCCCTCTGCTTACCCTGTGTCGTATAAATTACCAAGTCTTCAGTATATTATATGTATTTGTCGATTCGAGAATGAGATGGTTGGGTAGTTCGCACCCGGGCGGGCTCGGCGGGCGCTGCCGGCCGTCCGGGTGCGTTACATGTTTGCCCACGATTGGGCCTCGGTAACTACGTACGTATTCATATTTTATCGGCCATGTCTGCGGCCACATTTACGTAAACCTTACAAAATAAATAACTTTTCATCGCGTCTACTTGTTTTTTGTTTCTTTTTGTAGATCATACCTTTTATAATGAAGTTGCTGAGGTTTGGCCGGCTGTTACACTACCTATAACTAGTGTTAGGAAGTGTATATAGCACATAGTATATAGGTACTTGGGTAGGCAGTGTATATGTCAGTATTGGAACAAAGCAAATAACACAATAGTAACAGACCAGTGGCGGACACTGTGTGCGTGGCGTGGCGGTAACTTCAAGCAGACACACAGACAATGTTACAAAGTGATCAGGCCATGCAATCCAATCAGACAGACAAACATAGCATACATAGGTGCAGCGCAACTCATAAGATTACCATACCCCACGACACAATATAGATTTGACCTAAATATACATTAAGTACGTAGGTAAGTAGAATAAGAATGTTGCAGTACAATTCTCTAAAACACTTTCCAATGGTTGTTTAGAGGTATGAGGAACAAGGTGTAAAGTTCCTCATCCTCCATTGAAAAGGGAGGATCCTCCGACCAGGCGAGGTGTTCGTGCCTGGTGGGCTACTGCCCGACGGTTGTTGTCGGGATATCTGTATGGGTGCTGATTGTGTTGAAAACTCTTATAGCGCGATGTAGACTCTTGCTCGTGATTGGTGCTGTTGTTAATGTAGTGCGCTAGATGTCGCTACAGTTGTATTTAAATAATTAAAAACTCGCAAAAAGAAGACAATACACTTGACTCGATGTGTAATAGGTGTTCACGGGCGGCGCCGGTTGCTTACCAGGTGATCCTGCTCGTTAGTCAACTTATCCCATAAACGGAACATTTTTAATTTTAAGTACAAATGTTTTTTTTTTGAGTTGTAAATAATTACGTAATGGACCTATGAGTACGAGCGACTTCTCTTCATTTTTATTTTAATTACCTACACTGGAATATCAATTGGCGAAAATACTAGACTGGAGCAATAATTTTTTAAACCCCTTTTACCATATTAGCTGGGATAATCTTACTTTCAAATACTTCACTTACAGTGACAATATGATTAGAAGAATCTTAATTTTTGGCTGTGGATATCGAGAAAAAAATTAAAGACTACTGAAAACAATAATGGAGCAAACATTGACTTTTAAACATTTAACGAAATACAGTTGAAACTAGTGGTCAGAGTGAGAGGTGAAGTTAATATACATATCAACACTAATTTTATCTGAGTCTCACTATACTTAACACATGATGTAATTTCGGTTCTACCTTTCACGAGGCGTTCTCTCAATTTCTCCTAATAACGTCATGACGTCAAACCCGTCGATATTTCACGGGAGGTGGCAGAAAACAATTAATAATGCTGACACGAAAGGTCAACAGTATTTATATCAATGTTAGTGTATACTCACCTGAAACTACGATATTCGATTTGTTTATGTACTCGAATAACTAATAGTTTGTGTGTACATAGTAGGAACATTATTTGATTAGTTATAGTCTGTCTGACACCATCAGTCGTGGAAGAAATATTAGCCAATGAAGGCTAAATATTGAGGTGGATAAGTCAACATTTTAACTGTTTTATATACATATCTGCATTCCTCAGATTGAAACACATTCGAATGCAACATCTCGATTGACATGTAAGGTAACTTCGTGGAAAGCAGTCGTAAGCTCGGAGTGTCAACTGGCTCCCCCTCAGGCGTCAATCACAGTTTATACATGTACAAGTTTGTGCTCAAGCTTGCAGAAACAAACAGACAACTCTACGAGTTACTTAGTTATTTGTGTTGTCCCTGTCACTGACCTACAATAACCTGAACAAATTATATATAAACACACCCTATTAAACTCACAACGACACGAATAACAACTAACTCCCGCTAAATTGTATTACGAGAGCATTATATCTTTATACAGAAGGACGTGTACGGCCATCTACGGGTAACAACAAAGCAACAGTAAAAAAACAAATTTCTCACAGAACATAATTCAATAAGTGCGTCGTCTGACAAACGAACGTAAAGCAACACGCCGACAATTCAATTATAAATAATCTAATACTTGTTTCATCCAGTATTGGAGAAGGATTTTACGTCGGAATCTGAGCGATTTCGCATCGGAGTTAAACCGCACCGAGATTAAAAATGGGAACTCGGTAAAGTGGGTTTGACATTCTCGTTGTGTTGTACTTTGCGACTGATGTTTTCTTGTTCCTATGTTGTAAACCGTAGTACATTAGAAAATTAGTAATAGACAATAGCTGGCAGTGGTGGCAAAACTAACATTAATGATGCTAAGTCGCCACGACACAGTCGCACGTGAAACACTTCAGTCGCGGTCGCAGGCCGAGGCCCGTCTGCAGCCCGCGTTTAAACAATATCACGCTGGACATTATTTGTTCCGGAGCAAGCGAACAAAAACAGTCTCTATCTATTGCTTCGCGCAAAAAGACAATATATATTCCGTCGTAGTATTTTAATTCAATCCAATGTTTTGTTAGGGAATTAGTTTTTCGTATGGACGATGTTTTGTTGTTCGGCGGCAGCTAGTGAGCCGAGCTTTTTGTTTAGATCCCGAGTATCCGATAAATTGGACGATGCCGCGATGTTCGCTGTTTGATAAATCTTGTTTTTATGGCCTACTTGTTATATTTTCTTTGTAACGAATACGTCGCCGCCGTCGGCTTGCGGCGTCCATATATCGGAAGGTTTATAGGTGAATACTTATTTGAATAGGTAATTGTTCCTGAGTTCCAAAAGTTCTATACCCGGTATTTGGCAAAAATAATACCACTATAACAAAAAATATTAATTCCTTTATGACGAGTCCTCCAGTGCCACTGACAATAATGTAATGTCTATAAACGTATTATGTATAGTGTAATAGGAAGCACGACAGAATGTACGGATATTACCGTAATTACTGGATACACTACCTATTGTTGTTTGTGCACTGTTCACACATATATATTATACATGCACACTATATGTGGCATTTCTTGGTAAGCGTGTATAGCGGTTGTGGCACCGAGTTATGTATTGTGTAGCTACAGGTACAGGTCGGAGCTCCACTCTCTGGTTAGCATTAATTCGTAGAAATGCATAATCTTTTATGTATTGTCATATTTTCATGAAAATATAAGTAGGATTTTTCGTTTTATATAGACGAAAATTTATGTAATTTTTTCACAAAATCGTATACATCATATCGTGATCGTCTTTAGCTATAATCACATAAATGAATGCGCGTGACATTATTTCCTTAAAATCAATTAAGCAAAGGGCCGTTTAGAGGCGGCTGGACCACACCCTACTAACTACGATTACATCTTTTGATGTATGTAGGTACTTCAGTGAGGAGTGCGGAGTGAGGAGTGCTCAGGTACTCCCATACTGAATGACCGAACCTTTTAGCGTTATATTCTAACACCGCACGTAACTGCTTGAAGCTTGAAGGTAATACTTTTGTGTAGGAGCCCGCGCCGGATTAATGGATTTCTCAGGCCCCTGTTAATGAAATCGGCACATGCTTACAGCTGTATTGAAGAAGGAGGTTTACAATACTCAAGTCGAATATTTTTAGGCTATTTCATAAATTTACAGAGTAAAAATAAGAATAAGCGAGATAGTCCATCTTGTGTCGTGTAAGTATCTGCATATCTGCATCTGTAAATATTACAAACGACACACAAACAGAGAGAAATAATTTAATTAGTGAATCTATATACGCAGAGTTTGTTTCCTCGGACACTGACGCGATGTGCAACATGGTTACAAACAAGGGCGCAGTCACACCCATACCTTGTTTAGATACAAGTGTATTTTTATATTCTCTACTAAAATGTAATACTGCTTGCCGTGAGGTCTCAGCAGTTGTCCTGCATCATTTCCCGAGCAAACAGTGAGTGACTGGGGAGGCTCGCGGAGGGCCGTGCTTTCTTGTGCAAACACAGGTCTGTGCAGACACACGACTGTTCCGTGTTTGTCGTGTTTGATGCTCACTCCGCTGAACTGGAACCTCCGAGACACTGCGATTGTGCGGAGTGTTGTTTTTAAAATATATTTTTGTGAAATATGTGCTTACTGCGACTGTTTTGTGCACAACAATTCTTCGTTATATTTGGCAAACGTACAATCTGTAGCGGAAATCTGTGTTTATGTATACATATAGTATCTTACTTATATATATGACAATACAATAACCACGACGTGGAGTACAAATCTCGTAACGTAAGAATATCGCAATAAGACCAAAGGTAGTCGAGTCTCTGCAGCAGAGCCAATTATGTTCCCGATGGGCCTAAAAATAGCGCACAAACAAACATAAAGAGCTTTATATCAGTAAAGCTTTGAGGACAAATCAAATAAAAATTAAATTTTGCTTCTCCAAAACCAATATGGAAAAAAACATTTAATCATATTTCGTACTTATGTTCAGGGATGTGTAATATCTTCGTGGCCACTCGCGCGGTATAACAAGTACCCGCAAAATGAAGCGATCGCTTCTGAAAACCGATATCTCATTTTCTTCACAACATTATATTAATTTTCATTTTTATAAATTATACGGGCTCACGAAGTGCGCGTCTCTTTAACTTGTTGGTGTAGCGGGTAGTGGTAACTAAAGCCAGGAGATGATGTTACCATGAGAAATGTTCCGAGTTTTATAGGCTTCCGTTTTTATGGCAGATTAATCATTTTTACGTGGGACGTCTCAAGGTGAGCGGACTCTCGGCGGGAACTTTGTTCAACGTCGGGGGAACATTTGATTTCGTGGGCTTAATAAACTGTCGGTGCCTTACTTCCGCTCCACAATACAATATATTATGTACATTTAGTTGCTCGCCAGTACTTCTTCAAATTTAATATGATTTTATATTAATGTCTAAAACACTTGGACAATATCGAAGGTACCCAAAGGGCAAAGTTTATTTATTTTGATCCAATTACGTTCGAACGTGAACAGTAAACAAAGTCCCTCACCTGTGTAGTAATGTGGTGTGGTGTACCCTCAACACTGACAGTGTAATCGTCGCGCGTCGCTTGAAGCCCCCGGTGCTGCGCCGCCCAGTCCCCCGGGACTGGTCGCCGCTCCCCGGGAACATTCAATTGGGTCAAGACGTCCTAGAGACAGTGTCTCGTTAATCGTATTCATCTGTAAGCGTTTAGGGACATTTTCCGGGAACTGATTTGATGTTTTGGTTTGGGACGACCGTACCATTATAAATTGGGCGCTCGAAGAAATATTGCGCCGAAATATTTTAGTTTGTCGCTCAACTGAAATACACAAACATTTTCACTGAGACAGAGCTGCGTTTTGAAATGTTGCTGTATTGTTATTTTGACTGTTCACCTGGATTTTCAGTTTGCGATAGTCTTCCTATCTACTGCGTTGTATCTACTATGTATACGCAATCATACAACACGATGCATCTTGCAAACCACCACTCGAGTACTGGGTAATAGTGTTTAGGTATAAGCACATTAAGTTTACAGGGCTGACACTCCACTCACACCACACTGGTCCCTCCCATTATGTCACTCCGTATATTATAAAATAAGTGTTAGAGGTCGCCGCTACTTCGGCTTCAAGTGCTCGACCTCTCGGCCGACATTCACCAACTTTGCCTATTGACTGCATGACCTTTTCACAAAATTATGGCTTTACGCCTGACTGGGCTCCGCTGCCCTTAATTACACGAGTATTACAAAATACCCTCCAAATTAAATTCGAAAACTGCTTTAAGCAACTATCGAGAATGTGGAACAGCAGGCACTGCGGCTTGTCTACGTGTCTGCTTGAAGGCGTGTCTGTTGAATAAGCACCGGCAGCGGTCGCCAACTACCCAACTATGTCTGTAAATTAGCATCTATGGATTTAATTGGCGACACCGGTGCGGGGCGCGGTAACGCGGGCGCGGGGCGCGGGGCGCGGGTGTGTGGCGTGCGAACAAAGCCGGCCTGTTGGCCCGGACACCGCACGACGGTCGTTCTCAATTAATTTCAACACAAGTTGTCGGGTTCGAATCCCGGCTGAAGTACGTGCCAGTGGTTCGGAAAGTTTGAATTGTTTGTCTGGCTAGATGGTCAAGTGATAATGTTCAGGCATTTAATACGTGTCGACGTAGCGCAAACGAGTAGTAATTTTTATTATCTACGCACAACGGATTTTGGGACAGAATAACATGAACTTTGACAAACCACAGATTATGGTTGTGTCAGGGGAAGGTTGTACACAATCATTGCTAAATGAAAGTGATAACATTCACAGTTGTCAGTAAAAATGTAGTGACGCAGCTGCACTAATGTTATCCGATACTTCGGAGTCGCGTTAAGTAGCCACTTCTGAAGCTGTGCCATGAAGTTTGAGAAGCCGTGCCGCACCGTCGAGCGGCGTGGCGCGGTGCGGTGCGGCGCGGCGCGGCGTGGTTGCAACTTTGCATATTAATTTGTTACGTAGCAGTTGTTTATTGAGGAGTCAACAAACAACTGCTACGTAACGCCAACAGCGAGAGTTGCTGCATACTTGCATTGCTGCGGCTCCGTCAGATTTATTATACTCTACAAATATACACTGGGAACGGATTTATAGCCATAAGCTGTCTGGATTATTCTGACCTATGTTATATTATGACTAGAGTTTGATTAAATTCCAAAAACTTTGTGTATTGTACGTTTAGTGTAGAATTTTATAGTGAGCAGATTTCTGGAGAATGAAACAATGAAACAATGAATTTATTTTTGCAAATAGGCCATAAAACGGCACTTTTACACGTCAATTTATATGTAAAAAACTAGATGAAGCCGGCATTTCCTATCTGACTACTCTGAGAAGAAATGCCGAAACAAACTCAGAGGTCAGTCTCTTTTCAAGTCCAGACAATGTAAAAATAACATAATGTGAGAGAACCTGCAAGTTTTGATTAAGATTCTGTAGTGGTCTTTTGATGAAAGAACCACACCAGTTTAAGTGGACCCGTTCTGAAGACAGGCACGCAAGTGTCAGTTTGCAACCAGCATAGCAAGTGCTGCTGAGTTGTCCGACGAACAATACCAATCTAAAGAACATTTGGGTGGGTCACGCAAGTACTCAAACTGTCAGAACGCAGATAACTGGTAGTCCAAAAGCGCGGCAAGTCTCACACGGTCCTTACACTAACAAAATAATAATAATGTCAATAAATAATTATAAAAATAATAAATAAAATAAAAAATGTCAAATAAAAATAAAAATGTCACAATAGGTGATAATGTCATTGTTAAAAAAAATTAATAAAAAAATTAATAAAAAATATTAATTAATATTAATTGATTGTATAATTTGTGTACTAGCTCGCAACTTCGTCCGCAAACCTTATTAAGTTTTTCACACAAACCTTCCTCTCGGATCATTACATCAATTAAAAACTATATCGAAATCTGTCACGTAGTTTATCAAAGCATACATAGGGACAGGAAGCTGGAAGCGACTGTATACTATGTATATGTAGTATTTTTAACGAGGTAAGTACTGCTAACAGTCGACGTGTTTAGAGTCGAGAGTTCGTCAAAGTTGAGAGTCGCAAATACTGAAGCAGGTTAATGTGATGAACACGATGATCCACTCAGACATGGTCTGCGGCACTCTTATTGTCATTCAGAAATGGTGCACAAATAAAAACGTGTACTTTTCGAATGATATTAATAATGGCATTTTCGTCAATCGTGGAGGAGCCCCTAATGGATAGCGGGCCCTCATGAATATTTATCCGCCGGCTTGATGCTGAGGGTACGATGAGGGTTTCAGGCCACACTTTGCGGTGCCTTCTATCTATGTAGAGGGTTGACGACAGTAAGTTGAATTTTTAGAAAGTCTTTCCTACCATCTAGAAAATAAATATTTATTTCGACGAAAGGGTTTCGAGACTCGAGGTATATTTTTGTTTAAAACTTTTTGGTTTATTTTCGGATGTTTTAAGCGGGTTTAGTAGTTTTGATTGGAACCATTATTTTGTTCCAAGCTTGGGTGCACTTAGATGATGTGTTAAATGAAACGAGCAATATTGATAACATGATAAAATACAGTGGGAAAATACATATATGAAAAAATAAATGAGAAAGCAATGGTTTATTAAAAAGTCAGCTATCTAGATTTGACAGGATGTTAACGTGCGATATTCCAAATACAGGTCGCCTACATAATTCGAGAGCACAGATCATCGAAATAGTTCATGCATGATAAAGTGCAGTGTTGAATTGTAATGAAAACATGGAATTGACTATAAATGAATATTCGTCTCGTATTCAAATTCACCGTTTGGATCCGTTGATGTTGGACACATCCATCCATATTTATGGAACAGCAAACCTTTTATCTAAAATATGGTTTATGAAAAACAAAATGGATGAGATGTATGTTGATGGATACGTGTGTCCGTGTGTCCGTGTGACAGTCATATGAAAAGCTTATCTATAACAATTTATCTGTCGCGTCCGGCGTTCGGCGCGGGTAATGGGTTCGACGCTGAGTCGTGCGCGGTGCGACTCGCCGTCGATGCCAGCCGTCCTGTTAAGATCGATGTGTGTTTGCTGTCAATGTGGCCACGGCTGTGGTGCCGGCGATGAGGTATAGCGCCAACTTTTAGTATCTATACCACAAACTAAAATGCAGGAACTGTCTCATTCTTCTCTTTGCCTTTTAATATTAAATAAACAGTTTGTCATTATATAAATATATTGGCTTAATATGAAGAATTTCTCTCATCGATTCAAAAGATAGCTGCTTCCAACGGTTTTAAATTATTTTATCAGGATCGCGTTAAGTAAGTAAAGTGTTTTATTGGTGGAACAAGGGTATTACAGAAGTTTAAAGTAGGTAAGAGTAAACTATAGTGTTGTGCATCCGCTACAGTACGTGACTTACAAGGTTCCTCATTGCCCAGTGTACTGCACTTCATGGCATATTTACCAGCAACCAGTCGTCGACTGTTTGGCAAAGGATAGAAATAGACAAAAATATTTAATTTTAGACAAAATGTTGGCAATCATAATCCATCATGATGTCATCATGTCTTTATATGTATAGTATGGTTGAGTCATGTTTCGGTACGAATGGGTCGACAACACCGGAGTGATACCAAGGCGTAGGGAATTGACGACCCCACCGCCCACTAGTGGTTTATATCACTAGTGCAGTCAGTCCATGGATGATCCACCATATGTCACAAAAGCCCCTACCGGTGTTAGGAGGCGAGCAGTGTCGATAGACAAACACATCCGGCTTCTACAGCGGCGGGGCAAGGCAAAGGGGAAGTGCCTCAAAGGGCGCACGTCTGGATCCTTTTAGTGACGTGCGGCCAAACTCCTGCGGCCTCTACCTTCTGCCGGTCGTACCGGCTATCCGGTCCATCGGCATCAGGAGGTTGAGGAGGAGAGAGTGGACTTGTACCTGCGCAACTGCTCGTTCACTATAATATACTCACGCGTAGATGACTCCTGCATGTCAATTTGACCTACGAGCGCAAGTCCTACGGCGATGGTGAGCTGATGGTGGGGGGAGGATATGGTGTGTCCGAACCTTAGTTAGCAGCTGCACGTAGGCGGTCTTCTGGTGATGGTCGCTCCATGTCCCGCTTGAGACGGGGGGCTGGTTCGGCAGCTCAGTTGACGACAAAGCAGCCCTATCCAGGGAGCGCTCTGCTTTCCTCAATCTGGGGAGGGGCCTAGAAAAGGTGGCCTAAACATAGTCTGTCTCTTCTATAAAAGAGGTGGTAAACCGCGGCCACCTATCGCCAACTAAATGCGGTCGAAAAAAGAATCAAATAAGTTCTCAAAAAGACCTGAGTATAGGAACATGGAATGTTCGTACTCTTCTGGACAACGCTTTGAACCTATGTCCAGAAAGAAAGACAGCTTTGATTGCAAGAGAACTGGCCAGATACAACATAGATATTGCTGCAATTAGCGAGACACATCTCATCGACTCTGGTGAGTTATGTGAGCGGCTTGGGGGTTACACATTCTATTGGAGAGGAAAACCAAGTTCTGAGAGGGCCGCAAGTGGAGTAGGGTTTGCAATTAAAAACCAGCTGGTGCAAACTTTACTGGAGCTACCAAAGGGTATCAATGATAGAATAATTACACTGAGGCTTCAACTACCATCAAAGAAGTATATCCACCTAATCAGTGTATATGCCCCCACTTTGCCATCTCCAGACGAAGAGAAAGCCAAGTTCTATTTCGAACTTAAGAAAGTTCTTAATAAAATTCCTACTGCTGACAGAATTCTTCTGCTGGGTGACTTTAACGCTCGTGTTGGGAGTGATTACGGTGCTTGGGATGGGGTTCTTGGTCGGCACGGGGTTGGGAAATGCAACGACAATGGTCTTGATCTTCTTGCCTTGTGCGCTGAGTTTGATCTCACTATAACAAGTACCTGCTTCCGACTGCCCGAGAAATTTAAGACAACGTGGATGCATCCAAGATCCAAGCACTGGCACCTACTGGATTACGTAATAGTACGCAAGAGAGACCTCAGCGAAGTATTGATTACTCGTGTCATGAGAGGCGCCCAGGGCTGGACTGACCATCGACTTGTTCGGTCGAAACTGCGGTTGCAACTAAGAACTCCACGACGAGCTGCCCATAAGATTCCAGCGAAGATAAACTGTGAAAAGTTAATCTGCAATGAACAACTAGCAGAGGAACTAGATGATGCTTTTTGTGCTGATATGCCAGACATCACAGAAGATGCGTCTATCGACGAGAGATGGCGTTCATTCGCCCAGCACCTCCATAGCTGTGCTTTGCAAGTTATTGGGAAACCGGAGCGGAGAAACCAGGATTGGTTCGGCGATTCCGACGCGGAAATTAAGATACTAGTGGAGAATTACAGACGCACTCTTCTCTTACCAGATGTTGCTGAACGGCGAAAAGCTCATCTTAGTCTCAAGAGGAAAGTGCGCGCTCTCAGGGACAAATGGTGGGTGGAAAAAGCGAGTGAAATACAGCTTTATGCTGATACCAATCAAAGTGGTAGATTTTTTGAGAGTCTCAAGACTGTTTTCGGTCCACGAACTTTGAAGACGGCTCCATTGTACAATAAGGAGAGAACTCAACGTCTCACTGACCAAAAAGATATTCTAGCTCGTTGGGCAGAACATTTCAACGACGTTCTGAATCCCAGTAGTCAGACCGCCGACCTGTTGTACATAGAGTCTATTGAAAGTCTACCGACTGCTGAAGATCTAGCAGAACCACCAACCTTTGTAGAATTTGTAGTTGCGCTACGGAGAATGAAGAACGCTAAGACACCTGGGATAGATAGCCTACCGTCTGAGCTGTACAAGTATGGCGGCAAACACATTAATAACAGGTTATATGATCTCATCTCGCTAATATGGGAGTGTGAAGTCGTCCCGCAAGAGTGGAGAGATGCCTCCATTTGTAAATTGTACAAAGGTAAAGGTGACATAGCCGATTGCAGTTCGTACAGAAGATTTTAGCCCACGTCATTAACACCCGTCTATCCCGACACGCGGAAACAAAGCAAATTCAGGAAAAAAGCCTGGAGCAACATCGTCCTCTCTACATGTGCTTTGTCGACCTAGAAAAAGCTTTCGACAGAGTGCCGCGTGAAGCCTTGTGGATTGTGCTCAAGAAAGCCGGCTGTCCTGAAAAGTTAATCAACTTGATACGCCAATTCCATAACAATATGATGGCAAGAGTTCGACATGGAAATGACTTTTCAGACGAATTCTCAGTAACCAGCGGCGTAAAACAGGGCTGTGTCCTGGCTCCTACTTTGTTCTCCTTGTACTTTGCCTCTGTGATGCTTGATGCTGCAAGAACCTGCAATGGGCAAATAAACATCAATTCCAGAACGGATAAGAGCATTTTTGATCTCTCCCGCTTTAGATCTAAGCGTCAGGTAACCAAACTTCCAATCTTGGATATCCTGTACGCTGACGATGTTGCTCTCATGGCCGATTCTATTGAATCCCTCCAAAGTTTTGTGACCTCTCTAAGTAATTCATGCCGCAGATTTGGCCTGGTTATAAGCACCAGCAAGACTCAAATCTTGAAACAACCACCCAGAGGAAATGGCTTCCTCTGGGTGGCTGATCCGTCCAATGTCACTTTGGAAGGCACTGCGCTGGAGGAAGTTTCGAATTTTAAGTACTTGGGTACTCGTATTCGAGATGATAATACCTTGGCATCGGAGTTACCAGCTCGGATAGCAGGTGCGGCGGCAGCCTTTGGGAAACTTAGGGCACGTGTTTGGAACTCACACGATCTTAAGCTGCAAACTAAGATTTTAGTCTACAAAGCGATCGTCTTGCCCACTTTACTGTATGCCGCGGAGACTTGGTGCAGCTATAAGGCAGATATCAAGCGATTAGACACCTTCCATCTCAGATGTCTTAGATCTATTCTACGCGTCAAGTGGCAAGACCGTGTTCCAAACACGGAAGTCTTACGTCGTGCTGGTTTGTCCGGGATAGAGGCACTCATCATGAGACACCAGCTGAGATGGTGTGGGCACGTCTTGCGAATGGATGACAGCAGGATGCCAAAAGCCGTTTTCTATTCCGAGCTTTCTAGCGGGAAACGAAAAAAGGGTGGGCAATATGGGCAATATCTGCGTTACAAAGACGTGCTTAAAAGCAATCTTGTGGCTTGTGACATTCCACCAGATAGTTGGGAGGATTGCGCACGCGTTAGACCGAAATGGCGTCATACTGTTCACAAAAATGTGGATTTGTACGAGAACATGCGTTTACAAGATCTAGACGCCAAACTCCAAATACGGAAGACCCGACCAAAGCCCTCCTACAACTACACAGTTAATTCTGATGGTCAGTTATTTTGTGTGCCATGTAGCCGGACCTTTAGATCGAAGTTCGGTTTTGCTAGCCACATTAGAGCCTATCATAACAACGACCCGGGTTAGACATTTGGGAGTCGCCGTCGCCGGATACGGCTTGGACGACATGATACCAAGCGCCCTCACAGAAAACCGGCGTGAAAAAACCACAGCGTTGTGTTTTGCTATGTGAGTAAGGTTACCGGAGGCCCCATCTTTCCCTTCCTCCAATCCCTGCCCAATCTCTAAATCTCCAAAACCCTAATCTAAAAAAAGGCAGGCTACTTACATTAAACTCCATGATTTTATCTCGTCAAAGCCAAATTATTAATTCGAAACGATCCAATGAAAAGGCACTTTTGTAACGTCAATATTGAATTTTTCGTCTGTTCGTCAGTGAAGCTACGTTTAAGTTAAGCAGAAATATATATAGGTAGAGACCACTCTTCGCCATTAATTTTATGATTTTTATATAACAAGGATATTTCCATAAAATTTCCATAGTCAACCCAGGAAACGATAACTTCGCAAGGGAAAAATAAAATAAAAATAAATAAACAATTAAAAAGACACGAGTCTGTTCATTAAGCGACTTCTTTTCAGGTAATTACAATTCAGCAATACTTATACATAATATAAAGTTAAATTAATAAATAAATAAAATGATTATCTGAATAATTGTCGTAATGAGCTGTTTTTATTTATTTAATGAAGATATCTCATAAGTAAATGAGCTTATTGTTTATTTACAAGACGTACTCGTATCTGAGGTCTGACTACCGAATACTTATATATGTACACGTAGGAACACAACAAACAGGCTCACAACGCCCACATATTCTATTCCTGTCTTTACCTGAACCCAACATACTTAATGAATAAGGCCCGCTCTATCGCTCGCAGTCAGAAGGCTCTCATAACAACGACTTTTAATTAAAAAAATAAGTTTTATTACAAGTATAACCGTATACTTTTACGATTGCTAACCGACTGGCGACAGTTTGAAACGAACCCAGACTACAACGACGTGGCGTGACGTTACCACTGCACGACTTACCGTTTTAATTACATTATATTTACATTCGACTATTTTTAAAACCACTATTACGTTTAAAATTCAACCTTACAACACTGTGTAAAAGTTCACCTTCCATTGTTCAGTTATCTGAAAATATATTTGTTTTATTAAGCTAGTAAAATCCCGCGGCTTTGCGTGAATGCTGTATAAAAGAGTATTACGTGTGATTCGCATGGACAAGCTTGCACGGCTCATTTGAATTAAAATAGCATCGGAACAAACCGACAGGCTTTCTCTTTGTATGGAACAATTGTTGCATTTTAATTAAATAGACGTCGATGTGATAATGACAGCACATTAATTAGAGAGTGTACCCTAAATGACCGCGCCTACAATGCAGCGACGCAACACTGCGGCGTGCGGCCGCCGCTACTATTGTTTCCAATAAACTACTTAATTAGCCTAATTGAATGGTTCATAACTATTGATATTGATTCGGTGCGCCCGCCAAAAAATAAAAGTTTTTTATATGTTTTTTTTCTTATTTTATTATTGGCACGAAGTCTGAATTACAGGTAGAATGCCTGCTATGACTAACATAGCTTGAAGGTCCTCCGTTCAATCTCCGAACAAGAGATGTAAAGTAATGTTAGTCACTTATTCCGAAATTGTTGAATTATCCTAATCATCACGCACATAATAAATTGTTTCCATTGCATGTTGTTTACAAATAAAAACGTTAATTAGAATTGTCACCGAGTTGCCACTCATAGGAGGGTAAGTAGAGCTATCAGTGCCTAATGTGCGCCCGCGATGTGTTCCGTGGCACTGATTAATTTACAAACAACTGTATTATTAATTAAGCCGTGGGTACGTGGCGACAGCGCCCCCTCGCGGGGTCCCGTGTGATTCCTCCGTGATATATGGTTGCCAGCATGCGATGAAGTAGAAATATACCGGGTGCTAAGTGGATTATTAATACTAACAAGTTATATAACGAAGTAATCAGACAGACAAGTTGTCCACATAGCCCAAAGAATTTGCCGTAAAACCACCATTAAGGGTAGAGTGGAGAGCTTTATCGCGGGGACCGTGTGTATTCAAGTGTGGTGTTAGGCACCTTTTTTTTGGAATCTGGTTGGAAAATCCTCATGGAGACCCACCGCCCTCAGGGAAGGGTGTAGGATACTCTTAGACTCTTACTGACTAAAAACCAACCCGGTGTACCTCATTTACCCATGTGTCGAAGGGGCGGGTATCGCCGAAGCATTGACGGGTGGTGTAAGGCACGTAGCTAGATGGAGGAAGTTGTTGGTTGCGAAAAGTCGAAGATCAAGACCACCAGCGTGTTACACGACAGGCCTATGACTAGCGGGGGACAAACACCAGTGGTGATGATGATAAATGAGTAACATATCTTACTCTATGAGCATAATGTTGTGCGTTGCGCATATAAACGGAACAAATGAATGAATAAGTTAGTGTTAACAGAGTCAATCTGTGTGTGGAGTAACGGCACGAACCACTAAGTGGGTCTGTACCGTCAGCCGCTGCTTGCTAGTTATCTAGCCATGTTTTATTCAGGGACGGGTGGAGCCCCGGGCTCCGGCCCCCGGGCCCCGCTCCTGTGCACTCGTTTTCATTATATCTGTGGCGGAATAATTCGCTCGTTAATTACACGACTCACGGTCCCCTTATGTGTAACTGCATTTACGTACTGTCACTCCCACGCATACATACAGTTACAACGTTACTGCTAGTATTCGTGAAATATTGTAAAGATAAAATTTAAAAAATAAGGTACACGGGTAAATAACGAACAATAAACAAAAGCTGCTACAAGAATAATGATGATCGCCACCTGGGGACTGCGGGCTGCGGGTATTCACAGTAATGTTTCGGTGATTGCTGACGAAGTGCTTCATTATAAATGCGTCACTTGATCATGGAAGCGAGAGGTTTGTTTCGCAGTCTCTGGCCTCTGTGTGGCTGACATTATATAACACGTTGTGCAATGACAATCGCTCCATTCGTATACTGATATCTCCTATAAACCTAGCTGATACTTAGTGTCAACCTCAATCTACAAATGATCCTTCCGAGAACTCACAGCGATAAAGAAAAAGATAATCTCCAAGCCAGATTTTCTTCTTAAGAAAACTAACTCCGGAAAGTAATTTCAGATTTGATAATAAAGTAAACTTCCAAAAAGTCCACAATGCCCCCTGAGGGAGCGAACTCAGTGTATCAATCATTTTATAGAATATCCGTTGAAATATTCCCTCCGCCTTCATAGTAACCCACTCGACGCTCGCGTAAAAGAAACCGGAGCCAAGTCAAACAAAGCGACTTACTTTTGCTTCAACTGAAAAATTTTGTCGAGACGACGCGACACCCACTCGGCGGCTCGTTAAAATGTATTATTTGAGAGTTCCTCTGCCAGACCATTCAGACGACTTACTTGTCACATTATTATTGATCTACTTATTCTGCCTACCCGACTCCCAGTGCGAGTATTCCCACCTACCCAGCCGTCACTCTCTCAGCGAATGTCACTCCGATTTAAAATGACATTGAGAAAGTGACGTCGTCTATTTTATATATATATATATATATAACAAAAGTGGATAAATCGTTTTTGTGAGTTATTGATTACTGGGAAAACGTCTTTAATAGTATTATATTTTAATAATACTTACTTCAGTTTAATACCGCGATAAGCTCTTAAAACCAAAGTACTTTCGTCCTAACTCTTAAATCTAGATTGAGAGCTTAATTTTTTTTTCTTTTTCTTCACAAAGCAAAGATGTTTCGGTATAATATGAAGATAAAGTTTCATGGTCGGCCCGTATTGTAGTTTAACATAAATATACCATGCTGCTAAGAGGCCCAGACCTTAGTCTCTGCCCTTCACGCTGGTTAAGATCTTTAATGTAAGCTTATTTTGTGACTAAAACCAGTTCGTGTCAGCTTGTAAAATATTAACGCAGCCATGGTGGAGATCTGAAACTAAATTATGTTGAGATATTTGGGTGATATACACTACACCTACATATAACAGGTAACCACAACCCTTATACCGCAGCTAGCCACGGACTTCCAATTTGTCTCTTAAGCTATAGCAAAGAGGAAACATTTAATTGGCATTTGTTGGGTCACAATAAGGCAGTAGCGCAGTCAAATAGCTGAGTGGGCAAAGGCCGAGGCGAGCGAGTGCAAAAGAAAAGCCAATGAATAGAAAAGGGAGCAATTAATCGGTGCCGTAATGCCGCCAGCCCCAGCGACGCGCGCCTTCCTGCGCTGTGCCACTGACTGCCATTCATACGTGAACTTATTTGATCAGACAGTAAATGGGTGTTATTATGTTTAACATGGAGATATTTGTAATAGTAGGTCGTTCTTTTTAGTGTGTGTTGCGCTAGGTATCCTAGCACTATATTATTATTTTACATGTAATTACTATCGTAGTAAATCAATTATGTTTTACGGCCCACTCTCACAATTGTTTCTCGCGCAATAGTATTAATATTTGTGAGCCCGTGTATGACTTGAAATTATTCGAGTCACCTTGATAACCAGCTACATTTTTCCAAAGCAACGATTATTAACATTGCAACGAAAATATATTTTTTTAATCCTTTGTAATCTACAGATTTTGTCCAATAAAAGTTGTATAACACTTCATACTTAGTATAAAACAAAGCCCCTTTCTCTGTCCGAGTCAAATAGTCCCTAAGCATGCTTAAATATTTAATCTACGCAACGGATATTGATGCGAGTTTTTTTAATAGATAGAGTAAATGAAGAGAAACGTTTATATGTATAATAGCATTCGACAAATAGTGGAGAAATTTAGTATCAGTATTGTTCCGCCGGAAAAGCCGGAGCGGGTCGCTAGCTGTTAATAAATTAAGAAACATGAAAACAAAAACAGGGGTCACAATTTCAGCGGGGTTGCGGGTGCAAGAGCCATGATAAACAGCGACCCGGCCCAAGGCAAGAGAAGGAACGGGTGTTTTTTAGGCAGTCTGACACTCCCTCTTGCTCCGGGGTGAAGATAAGTCATTTCTAGGATAATCTCCTATTTAAAAAGGGTCACAGTATAAAGTTCAAACATTGCAATCAAGGGGACTCAAGGCGATACAAGAAATAACGATGCAAGTTAAAATAACAAAACATTGATTCGTTGCACTCGTAGAGTTTGAATCTAGATCAATAGTGTCAACGAACTGGAGCTTTTAAAAACGTTTTATTAATATTAGACTGTAATTATACAAGCGTTATAATCAAAGCTGAATGAAGGAAAAGTTACATTGTTGTAGTCAGTTAACACGTAGTGTTTAGTTAGTCACGTATTGTACTTCCAACTGCTCAGCTTTTACAATTTTTATTAAACTTTTCAGAGCTTCTACAATAGCTGTAGTTATGAAATTTAATATGAAAATCCATTAATTTCCTGAAAATTGCTTTACCCGTTGCAATCCGAGCATTTTTCGTTTAAAAAACTCAAAAGTAGCTCTTTCTTGCCAACTAAACTAGCTTCAGCAGCACGGTCTCGGAAACTTACCGTCATTTTTTACACTGGCAACACAAATCCGAGGAAGTGCTCAGGTAGGCACAGAAAGCTTTCATTTCACTCGACAACGACTTACAGTTATTTACGCGCAACCAAATTGGTTTCTCGTGAGTCCAGCTTCATATTTAACTAGCTAGGGCCGCCTCGTAACTTGCAACTTATGACGGAGTAATCCGAGGTATTCCTCAATGGGAGGTAAGTAACGGGGTTATTGGCTGGAAGTAGCTGTCGTATGCTAATGTTATACCTATAAGCTGCGATTACAAGATTACAAGCCCGCGATTACTTGAATTTGGTTACAAACCTCTCTACATTACACAGTCGTTTCAAGTTTTCAGGTTTGTACGAATAATATTATTCTGTACTTTTGTTTATTTGTTTTTTCACTTACTTTGTAATGCGATATAGAATTACTTTTATAGTGTTTTGACTATCTTATTGTTGTAAGTATGTAAGTCCCTAAATTTGAGTCTCTCGATTACCTTAGTCCGATGAAGCCTGGCAACTGGCAGCCCTGCCCTGGTGTACCGACTGAACCCAGCTCCTCGTAACGTGAGTAGCTGCCGTCATTCGAGACATCGTTAATCAGAATAAGACTTCCCATTTTAAACGAAAGAAGGATTGTTAAAAGTTTTAACGATGCTTTTTATAAAATGAAGTTGGAAGTGGGAGGTAAATGAAGGAGAATTATGTAATACTTGATAGATTGCTTATTTTTAATAATGAAGAAACTCGAACCGGGCCCGCGCCCCGGCCCCGGCTTTAATGAAGCCACTTACAAACCTTTCAATAAAAATAGCCTAGTATTGGCTTAGTACAGCGGTAGAACCTCAATGAACCCGCTGGAGCGTTTAAAATTTTAGTTTACTTCCTTGTTTAGCCACTTGGTATTTAAACGAAATATTCAACAAAGTCGATGAATCTGAGTAAGTCGATTACCTCACGAGTAGACGAAGTTGGCAGTATTTTAAATCATTTGCACATTGTTTGACATCGGTATCAAAATTTCTTCTGAAAGTAAATAATTAAGCCCACACATCGGCTGCTTTCATAGGAATATTCCAAGCAATGATGTTTAACGAGGTTCCATAATCGCCGGATCGCCCATTTAATGCCTGACACAGTACAAATGATTACCAACTTTATATCCCTTAAATCAATAAAATGTTTGAGACGAAAGTTCTACAAAATAAGCGCATAAACCCTCCTCAGGATAACAACCCTTGTCGAGTAGAATCCCAAATTAAGAACACAGTTTTTTACAATAATCTGGATGGTTTTCATTTAAAAGCACAATCATCGTGCTGCTTCCACAATCTTATGTTTACTGTCCCACCCATCACTATAGTGTGGACATTAAGGTCTCAAATCGTGTGATGTAAGCGTGGCTTTGTCTGGTCGGATTGCAAATGAGATGGGCAAGGGTGTATATAAGATCAAATTAAAATTTCCGCGTCCCGTAAAACGCATGTGTGCTTTATTTTGGCTGCTAATGTTCTCTCGTTTGTAATTTCCTATAAGGAAGCCGGAGGAAGTTATTTTGATGGATTCCTTATTGAATTCTCAACACGCTGTGACTCTGTGACGTCAGCGACTAAAATAAGATGTAAACATATTGCGCAGTAATGTGGCGTTTGTTGTCACAATGTTGTTACTTCTTCATAAATAAACAACTGTTGTTGGCATTTAGCGTGTTGTACTGAAAATTAGAGTACTTTGTCATTGATATCATAATAGCAATCAGTTACATGAAAAGTCTTGTTTGTGCTACAAATGGTTGGTCTCCCTATTGACTCTTGATCGTCTGTGCGATTATAGTCAATCTTGAAAAACAAGTGTTTGAAGTCATACACATAAACGAATATGTTTTTTTTCCCCTGGACAGTAGACCAGTATCACTTATAGTTATTTGTATTCGAATAGAGTGATGTTTACATTGGCATGTATTTAGAAGTGCAAACAATACTTAGTTTTGTATGGTTCAGTAGGATTGCGTCCAATCTAGCGGATAGCGGGTAGTACGTGATCTAATTACGAAGCAAATGCTATGACTTCTCTGTATAAACGGACTATTTTACCGACCCGGGCATCGAACACTGCTTGCTGCAAGGTTTTACAGGGATTGTAATTAATTAATTGTATTGATAATGAAATAAAACTGAATTGTTAACTGATACAATTACCTACCCGTGTTAGGTATGCGTATGTATACCAGTGTTTTTTTTTTTAATACCCAAAATCTCATTTTGTTTCTTGTTACTTGTCATGACCATCACATTATTAAGAGTCTATATTCACTGCATTATTTTGGAATATTAAAATTCATCTCATTACATACACGCTTTTTAAATGCAGATAACATGCGGGATTTTGAAAAAGGGTGCATGAAATTGAGACTGTTTGATCAAACAGCCACTTAAGTGTAACCCTTTACCATACATGTCCAAATATCCAATCATCAATAATAGACAGCGACAAATTAGGAGCGACGCAACATTAGCATCATCAAGAGCTTGGAAGACGTCCAACAGTGCACTATATTGCACACGCAGCGAGCTGACCAAACCTAATACACGACTTACGCAATTTGCATAATTAGCTCGTATTACACACGAAATAATTAATCGCTAGTTAATTCGTCGAGCGTGTTCTGTAACCAATGTGTTTTAATGTCTCTGCTTATTTATTCAGGATTCCGACATACGATTTCCGATCCCTCCGTAAATGGATCTAAGTGATGTTAACTTGCTTTGCTCTCTGCTCGTATCTCGTGTTGGTTTACGAATTTGGAAACGGTTGAATAATCCGCTGCTGGGATTCTTACTGAGGGTTCAACTTCCACTTCGAGCGGATGTTTACTGAATCTTTGTTTGGATGAACATTTCTAAATTGTACCCACATTTCGAATGAATGTTTGACACAGTGAATGGGTAATCGGCTGTGCAACGTGTTTTGAGTTCGATTACAGCACGGAATAACTCTTTGTGTTATTTACAAATTGTCTGGGTGTGATGTGAATATGGGTTTTTGGGTTTTTAACACAAAGTTAAAAAAAAAGAATCCGAACAAAATGCACCCACTGAAAAAGTAAGTTCGAAAGTGCAGTAGTTGCAGATGGTACATTAGCTTTCAATATCACTAAAATGTAGCATGAGGGAGTAAGTCCTCTGAATCACCATAAAATACATCACCAGCAATAGCCACATAAAGCTGTCGCCGCAACTATCTGGCAATCTTGCCAGATTTAGTGGTGCCCTCTGCCGGTTGGCACGCCACTCACGTCGCGGCTTAATTAAAGATGGCGGTGGCTAAACAACTGCCACTTTAAGTAGTACGTAATGGTGGAAAGGAATTGTCTAATTGTTCGGTAAACGGGACTCGGGGAGGGAACTTCGGTTCTGTTTTCATTAAAAAGAGATTGGATTTTGAAAACATCTAACTTTATAAATAAAAGGAAAGATACGTTTGCAGTTTCTAATATTCAGTTCTAATATCAATCTAGACCAACCACTCCACTCCATAGTTCCAAATAGTAGAATTAGTTTAACATATAGGATATAGGTCAATCTACATATTCGCACACACAGTAATAATACTTAGGTATTTAGTATGCATACTGCACAGCGAAGCATTTATTATGGAAATAGAGACCTCTAATGCATTTTAACACAACGATTGTGTAAATTTCTTAATCAAATCTACAGGATTAAATGTATTCTGAACTTGGGTATTATTCAAACCAATGGAGCTTAGGTATGTTCTGTGGCGACCCCTATCTGCGTTTCCATTACCATCCTTGTATAAACTTGTGAAGCACTTGCACAAAGAAAGACAAACAATAATTCCGTATTTGTTTAATTTCAATCTGAATACAAAACAAACGTCGAGTTTAATGCAGAGCGTGTTTGAGTTTATTAGGCGGTGGACAGACGCGCGACAACTTCGGGCCTGTCAGACAAACTCGAAACTTGTCGCGCTGCGAGTTACTGTCAACTTTGTCAACTTCATTTTACGTGGAATTATTTAATAATCCAATGGATGTTCTGTTCTGTCTTTATTTAACTCATGCGACGGATTCACCTTTGACCTTGGACGTGAATGTGAGCGGTTCAGTGTTCGGCTGGTAGCGGACATAGTCTGTGGCTCATAGTGCGCGAGTCTGTCAGCCGAGCGACGCATTAGTGACGTGCTTTGAACTGCTGTGCTCTCTCAGTACAATGCTATTTGAAATACGCCCTGACAGAAGATGACAAACATTGCCGTACTTGCAAACTTGTAATTATTATTATTTAAGCTATACTTAATGATTTTATCCAATTCTCAGGACAGGGTTAAGTAAGAGTTAAAGGATGAGGATTGATAGGTACAAAATAACTAATGTTTTTCTTAGGAGATCTTTATCTATGTATCTGTGTAAGAATCAGGTATTTCATAATCGTATGTTAATATAATCAGTAAACAGTATTTTTAATAAACATCAAGCTTTTCAATGATTCTGTGACTATTAACTGTGTACAGGAGAGTATTTAAACTAACTTTTGGTTATTTATTTATCATCCAAATTTAATTTTCTGCTCAGCACTCAATTCTGTCTGCATCCTAACGTAACGTCATAAACATATGAGGCAATGTGTGTCGCGCGACCGCGCCGCCGTGCTCTCCTAATGAAACACAAGTGGGGCTGAGCCGTGCTGAGCTGCAGCATCAAAGTCTCGTCTAGTCATCCACAAATTGTATGCAAATAGCTGCTAAATGGTTTTTTCCGTATCTCTTTAATATGCCGGCGGTCGTTTAAGGCATTTCCATTTTAATTTCAGCTTGTTTAGGCTGTGTGCACACTGAGCGGCTCGGGGGATTGTCGCGATAACGTGTCTCTCAACAACTTTACAGGTGTTTGTGCGGCTAAATACAAACATAACGATCCGCGGTTTATTACCCAGGGTGTTAGGTAGAGGCTCTTTCAACAACTAATTATATAATTATGGTTCATTATAATTACGTTGGGTCACCTAAAGACGTTGAATCTGTTGTCGCTCGGCGAACTCAATTCCAGCCAGTCTGTCGGACTCTGTATCGATCGCCTCGTATTTTTGTAACAATTTTTATGTCGTCAGTGTAATATAAAACAAATCGAATATAAATAGCTCCATTTAATTCGGTTACCATTTTGTGTACGGTGTAGGCTGGCTTGTAAACTAAGCCTCTTCAGACTGACAGACATTATAGAAAGGTTAACATTACAAGTGTCTGAATAGATTTTAAATATTCTCATTTCTTGAAATTATTTTGTAAGTGAGAAAAATAAACAGAATCTTATATTTACGTTCATTTATTGTACATATAATAATATTCTTTTGAAACTAATTCTATTTTTCGTAAATATCTTTTGAATTATTCTCTTTGAGTTTATCGAATAAAGGCCATTAGATATAGACCTAAACAAACAAATTGTAATGGAAAAATACTAGATAGATAAATTTTATCAAAATGTTAGTTTGTCTAAATATACGTGGAGCTGGAGGCGGCTCACGCACGTGGCCGCCACGTGATCATTATTTGATATCTACTAGACGCGAGGTTTCAGTGTCTCAGTAGTGGGGCTCTACACAAACACTGCGAGCTCAGTTATTATAACGTTAATGAGAATCACTTGAAGGTAAATTAATTTCCAGCGCTCGAATATTTGAATAGTAAGAAACACTTGGCTTTAACTTGATGTGTACTCAAAGTTTTTAAATGAATTCAAAAGATAATAACAGAAAGTTCATTAAGTAGTTATCAAAAGTTGTTGGCGAAGTTTCGTCCAGTATAATTTGACAGTTCTGTCTTAATCCCATCTCTCTCGTTTTATCTACAATTAGTGGAGTGCTGTCTGGAGGGAGCGCGAGGGCGTGCACTCTAGTCGGGCAGCTACTGCGAATGAACTTGCTATGTAAATTATATGAAACTGAAAAGAAAGTATCCTAATAAGCTTTTCGTATAACTAAGCCGTGTCTTAAGGAGAATGGAAAAGGTATGAAATTGATATACCTATGAATTTAAGGTAAAGGCGCCTGCTCCTCATGCATGAAGGTTTCGAATCCTGGGAAGTACCAATGTGACTTTGTCCGAGTTATATGTACTTTCCAAGATTATTCAGACACCACTGACAAACGGCGAAGGAAAACATCTTGAGAAACCTGGACTTTATAAGGTGTAATTACAAGTTTGAAATCGCCAATACACCTTGAGCAAGAGTGGTGATTTATGCTTAAACCTTCTCAGTGTGAGAAGAGGCCTTTGCCTAGCAGTGGGCACTTATAGGCTGATGATGCGATTGATTGATGATTTTGAGTTCATTATTTACACTGCACTTCAGTGTGTATCCATCCCAATAGCGTATTTTGTGTGTGACGTCACGGGGTAATTATTATTGATTCCGAGTTTTCAAGCGACGTGGCTGTGATGCAGTGTAAATAAAGTTGATAGGTATAATGTCAGTCGGAGTGCTCCCTGTGTGGACCTCTCTCTGATTAGATGAACCTCATGTGAGGGATTACCGTGCTGAGTGCTCATTTAGAGGTATGTGACTACGTTATGGTGGATTTATTTTTGTACATTACTCTCTAAGGACCAATTATTTATGGTTTAGTTTGACATCTGTATCAACGAAAATATGCATTTACTATATATGTATTTTTTTTTTGTCACGGAAAAATCATCAAATTATTTCTCCCGCCCAGGGTAAGACCAAGGTGCCTCAAATAGTATAGTATACATATTAAGTACACATATGTCTATTTTTGAATAAGATTCTATGAATAAGTGTGAGAGAGCCAAACTTCGGCACGAATGGGCCGGCTCGTCCGGTCTTACAGAAAACCGGCTTGAAACATCCCCAGCGTTGTATTTCGCCGTGTGAGTGAGGTTACCGGAGAAACAATCCTTTCACTCCCCCCATCCCTCCGAAATCCCCATTCCCTAAATCTCCAAAACCGCAATCCCCAAAAGGCCGGTACCGTTGCTTTGAATCACACAATCCGAGAGGTCGTTTACATATCAGCATCGACATATCACATAAAAAAATACTAATGTTTTCACGGTAGCAACAGTTCGGAATGTGTTTAAATTAAAATGAAATACCTACCAGATAACAAAATAAACTCAGACAGTATCAGTACGCTAAAATAATACTAATTCTGAAATTGAAAAACTCATTTTCACGAATAAACTCGACGTGAATCTCTCTGTTAACTAATTACTTATGAAAAATAGGTAAACTAAATGGGAAACAATACGCGACGGGGCGCGCGCCGCGGCGCTGCCCGCGTCCCGCCCACAGGTACTTTAAATATTCCCAAACTTATTAAATCACTTTTCATGTAGCTTAATTGTAAAGGATTTGTCGTCGGCCCGCGAGGCTCGCCTGCCCCAACATAATGAGTTCCACTGCCGTAATTGTACTCCAACTCAACCTCTATAGATGAAACAACTGCTTACAACCCTTTCAGGGGTGAATTTCAAAGGTTTCTGATTTAACCTCACCCCCGATTAAATTTACATCAAATATTGAAGGGCTATTTTTTGTTAGCTATTCTGGTTGAGCAAGAATAATTAATTTGTTTAGTGTTTAGGCTTTTCGTTATTTCATAATTAATGATTTCGCTAATTATGTATTCGTCTGAGCGCTTCGTGTGACCTCCCATTATAAATAGAAATCATTCAATAGCTGAATCAAGTAATTTTACAAAGATTTAAATTAGAAATAATTATTATGAAAGTGATTAGTGGTATAACTGCCAGCCGACGCAGTGAGACGATGAGAACAGGTTTCTTCAATAATTATATCTGTCTGCGAGTTCAGTTTGTTCTCCAAAGAATGCGGCGCGTCCCAGACAATAATTACACCTGCATTACACTCTATCCCAGAAAGTTTCCCTGGCTTGGCACAACAGACACTAGCGCAGAAGATCCACAACATTCTGTATACAATTGACTGTATTGTTGAATTGATTGACAAATAGCATTCTGTATTACTTCGTTATAATTTTATACCTATTGATTTTGAATACAATGATAAGTAGTACAGTAAGTAGTGTATCTTAAAAGATACAATTAAAATATTGTAAGAAAATGTTTGCACTTCTGTTCACGTTATCACAACTCATTCCTTCACACCTTAGAATAACTCGGATTTATTCGCTCGAGGTGGGATAAATCTACCGCTGGCAACACTGATATTACCGCTGTGTGTGTAAATTTACTGCTTGCAACACTGATGCTATCGCGGTTTGCAGATTTACTAAAGCTATCATACGAGTGAGCTAGTATTCAATGGACGCTAGTGTTTCTTTTTTTGCAGCGCAGGGATTATTGCGAGCGGGACCGTTCCTGGATTAGGTACAACGCAGGTTTTAGTTTTACGAGTTCGTTCTGTAGATTAATTCAGGTTTTATTGACAAACAAATTCGCTCTGCGGACACTCTGCATAAAATATTGTCCATCACTCTGAAATACGCAGTCAGTAATACCTGTCCAGCCGCAAAATATATTTTTATTGAAATGTATGCAAAATCCCGGAATAGTGTCTATTATATCAAACAAAGGTTCTAGGTCATTCGGCAGGTTTTTGCGACAGAATCGGATCCGATCTGTTTCAGCATTCCATTGTTAGAGGTCTGCTGTTGGCAGTTTATGGAGGGCTTGAAGTATGGCGCCGTATTTTAGCTTCGCTTTGGGTTTAATTATGCGGAATTAATTTGTGCGTGCCCACAGACCGTTTCAAGGAAGATGATACTTATAATAGTGGTGACACAGAATCTACTGAATGTGTCAGATTGTAAAATGTTTTGAGTGTCGTATACATCTATTAGTCGTTGTTTCAGACACGCGTCTAAATATAGCATTAGTATTTTAAAATGAATCTACATATCTAAACTCAATTAATTAACATTCAGTTTGCTCTCAAGTGTTTCAATGTTAACATCGATTAATTAATTAATTACACGGCTAAGTATGTAGTTCATGCGGTCTCGTCGCTCTACAGTAAGTAATTCCATGAGCGCCTCGTAGATAAGTATACTTTATTAATAGCACTTCTTCACTGTCACAAATTCGTACATTACAAGTCCAGCTGTGTTGCCACCATAAGTCATGGCGCGGCGCGGGGCGGGCAGCCAGCCAACACTTCCAAGCTAAATTACTTGATTCTCACCATCGCTAAGTGAACGCTTTCGGAAAAACGTTCTCCTCACCACTTTGTGTGACGTGACAACACTGAGTTATGGATGGTTTTACGTTGAATTGAAAAGTTTCAGGACTTTCCTGAACTTTAAATGTAAACGACTTGAATGCGCGGAACATTATTTATTTCCGCCATTTATTCACTTTTTGTAATTTGCGCTGATGTTGCGAGCAGTTGCAGTAATGGCTGTAATCGTGATGGTGAAATCGGTTGCTATTTATGTAGGGGATGAGTTTAGAATTGTACATGTGCCGTCATTATGCGTCAGTGGCCGTGTAATGAGTGGACTAGCGCAGCACACACGCCGAGTGGGAGCTGTACACATTCCTGCGTGTGAAGGCGTGAAGCCACAGCACCACACCGCACCGCACCGCACCGCGCGATCTACAAAGAGCACATTAGTGTACGCGTCGCGCAGCCGTGAGCAGCGTAATGAGCGCCACTACACTCTGATACTCAACTCGATGGTCATGCATTTAACGTACTGATGTCGCTGTGTCGTCATATTGGCTCATTACATTGTGTTGTCATGTGCAACAATTAGAGAATAAGTATGCTCTTTTTTATTAACATTTTGTATACTATATGTATAATAATTATAGCATAAGACAAATTGCAGTAATAAAGCTGATTTACATGACGTTAGACCATTTGAGGCAGTTTGAAATAGTATAACATGTTCCATACGCCATTATAAACCTCAATTTCCACATGCACGTTTATGTATTATGTCCGAATCCAAAGATACACTCGATTTTGTAGCCGCAAAACTTGGAAACATTTCAAAGCAAATTACAGAGCATACCTTTGCCTTTGGTGCGATACCATCACTAGATCGAAATACAGGACCCCAGCCAGATTTATAGTTTGCAATTGAGGCCGCGATTGGAGCGGGCCGTGGGAAACTTTCCCTAGGCTTTTATATCACGGGTTCTGTGCCTCTTTAGGCTTTTAGCGCTAACGGAGTCTGCAGGCCACGTCCAGTCGAGTTTGCAGCACAAAGACCAGTTTCACACATGGCCGCGTACCCCGGCGCTATTCCAAATGTTTCAGTTTGCACTTTTTATTTTTAAAATAACGGTTTCTATGACGATGTCGAGTTGTTGCAGTTTTGTACGTTTTTCTTTACGAAGTGCTCTATGGAGTCTAACTGCACTGCAATATCTATGCTACATTGATGAGGCATAAATTGAGGAATATGGTGCTGTTTTTTTAATGTACCCACTTTTGTGACGAACTTTCGAACTACAAGATTATGTAAACTATCAAAACAGTTTGTACAGAGACAAGAAGATTTTAAGCTTTTGGCAGAGACTTTTAGGAGGTTCCTGACGAGAATTCTTTTGTGTACATGATACAGGACGTTGACAGAACGGCCCATGGGGTCACATAAAATGAAAAAAAAAGTGATGAGACTGCTAAAAATTTAACCACGAAGGATGCATAAATCTGAGTCGACGAGATTTATACCATGTTCTCTTCATATATTTGGTTTATATAAACATTTAGCTGTCCTCACGAAACTCGAGGGAAATCGAGGCTTCTTAGTTGCGACCACACTATAAAACTGTTGTTGCCCGGCGAGACGCACATTATACTCAAACTGTAACTTGTAACTAATAAAGTATGAGCCGTCAAGTAATAGACGGTAAGTTTCTACATTTTTTCAAGTTTAGCATGGCATAGTGATAAATTGACGGATAAAATGAGCATGTTCTCCAAATACGAATATATTGGCGGCCCACGTGTAAACTAACATCCAAGTAGAACGCATATACCGAATGCAATTCGTTCAATATGTACAGCGCATGTCATACGTAAACATCATCAATCAGATGGCGCCACTGCCAGTGTAAACAACAGCTCCGTGTTTTTAAAATCATTAAAAATAGTTACAAGTGCATTTTCCTCTTAATACAGTGCTATTTCAATAGTTATAGTGGCAATTTATATCATCTATCGTTATCTACGAGCAGGGATTCAATAGTGTCAAGAAATATCTAGTGAAACTTTTTTCCAACCAACAGTGCATAAAGTTGTTAATAAACAATTATTTGGTGCCGAATTTGCATAAAACTTGCGTTACTACATTTAATAAGCTTAAGTGCAAAAAGTGCAAACTTATAATAAACTAAAAAAGTTTATGTAAAAACTAAGGTGTATTTGTTGTGAGTGACAGTGGAAAAATTCAAATTCAAAAGTTGTTTACGTCCAACTGTCACATAAACTTTAACTTGTAGAAACAAAGCACCTAATTTGCAACAAATAATCAACAACGATTTGACGTTGTGGTATCGGACGTCGACTTTCAATAGAGTGAGCCGAGTTCGAATCCGACGACTCGCATATACTTTTTGGAAGTTTTTTTTTTCATATTGCTTGCGCAGAATTTGAGTATTCTAACGCTTTTGACATCGCTGGGAAGACTTTTGGAAAATTGTTTTTTTTTTTTTTTTATACTTTTTGTTCTTACTTTCGGTACATAATTTAAAAATGTCGACATTGAAGTGTGCCGGCTGCATGAACGCTTTTAAGGTTGGAAAAGGCTTACAATGCTATTTTTGTCATCAATGGTATGATTTACTATGCGCAAATATATCACAGCAGAAATTCAAGTCAATGCATTCCGACTCTAAAAATACTTGGAAGTGCCCCGGGTGCATTAATAAACAGCCAAAACTCGACAATACAAATACACCGATCCGATCTGCCAAGCCATGTAGTCCTACAAGCAGCATCAACAACTCCTCTCCTACCGATCAAAGCAATATTACTCAACGCCGAAAACCATCTCAGTGCCTGCCCACAAACGAAGAAACAACACGATTGACGGACATAACGAGTGGTTCACTGAGAGAAATCATAAGGCAAGAAATTAACATAGCTTTACAAGATACAATTAAAGGTATGATAAAGGAACAGTTTGGTAAATTCAACGACGTTATTTGTGAGTTCAAGAAATCGCTGTCATTCTTCAACGAAAAATATGAAGAAATGAGGACAGCTTTAGAAGAGAAATCGACTACTATACAGAAACTAATGAGAGAGAACTGCTCTTTAACAAAATCAATAAGTGACATAACGAAGCGTATGAATATCTTAGAACAACACGCGCGATCTAATAACGTCGAAATACAGTGTATACCCGAACATCCATCCGAGAACTTGATTAATACTGTCCTTCAGCTCGGCAAAGTCATTAAGTGTGATATAAAGGATACGGACATTCAACTCACAACCAGAATTGCAAAGAAAGATGCGAACAACAAACGTCCAAAGTCTGTCCTCGTCAAATTCACCAGTCCCCGTGTGAGGGACACTTTCCTTGCGGCATCCCTACAATTCAACAAAAATAATCCAAAGTCTAAACTGAACTCAAGTCATCTTGGCATTGCAAACGACAAACCAGTACCTATATATGTCGTCGAACACTTATCCCCTGAGAACAAAGCACTTCATGCGGCAACACGAGTTCGAGCCAAAGAACTGGGATACAGATTCGTGTGGGTTCGAAATGGAAGAATCTTCATTAAAAAGGACGAAAACTCCCAAACTGTGGTTATTGGTGATGTTGAAAAGCTAAAAGATCTTTCCTAATTAAAATCAATAGTGTAATTTTAAGAATGCTACTCTATTATATATATTTTTTTAAATTCAATTGCATTAATTTTTATTACCAAAACACTAGAGGACTGCGCACTAACATATCTGAAGTACGGCAACACATAGCGAACAGTGACTACGATGTCTATGTCTTGACGGAGACTTGGTTGTGTGCAGGTATTTTTGATTCTGAGCTCTTCGGTGATACCTTTTCAGTGTATAGAAGGGATAGGGAAACCTCTAACTTCAGTAGCCACAAAAAGGATGGCGGTGGCGTGCTTATAGCTGTATCTAATAGATTAATCTCATCACGTATGCATGAATGGGAAAGTAACTGCGAAGATCTATGGGTTACAATCAAAACGAAATCAGCTGTAAATGGGTCCTTGAAGCTGTGTGGTGTCTATATACCCCCTCCAGTAAATTCAGATGTGTTAGAACACTTCATTGAGAACAGCAACTCAGTTATGGTACGTAATTCCAACAGCTCTACTATAATATTGGGCGACTTCAATCTGAGTGGGATTGATTGGATACACAGCACTGCTGGTGACTGGTGTTCAGCCTCTACGGGCAGTAGTGGCTATCTTAAAAATATTTTTCTTAATTTCATATCGTTCAGCAATTTAAGACAATATAACTGGATCAAAAACTTTCAAAATAAAACCTTAGATTTAGTACTCTCCGATAATGAACAAATAAAAATTAGTAACTGCCCTGATCCAATTCGAGAATTAGATAAGTTTCATCCAGCCTTTGAAATTGCGCTGCAAATACCTGTAGAGTCCAAAAAATATTCTATGGCGATTGTTAAACCTAATTACTACAAAGCTGATTACGAAGCCATTTGTAAGGCGCTTGGGGACATTAATTGGAGCACTGAATTTCACACTTGCAACGACATCAATGATATGTTGGATATTTTTTACTCGGTCGTTAGGAAAGTCATAAAACTGTTTGTACCTGAAACTGTGTCATCTCGCGGTAAACACCCTCCATGGTACACCTTTCATTTGAAAAAATTATTAGGACAAAAGTTAAGACTCCGAAAAAGAATTCAAAAATACAATAACCCTTTGGATGTTATTGAATTTAGTTACCTGAGAAAAGACTGCAAAATACTCATGCATAAATGTTATATTAATTACATAGTCGAAATTGAAAATAAAATAAAATATTACCCTAAAATGTTTTGGACACATGTTAAAAATCTCAGGAAATCCACTAATTCTTACCCCTCGGAAATGGTACTTGGTGATACAAATGTCTCCGGTACCAAAGCCATTTCAAATCTATTTGCAAAACAATTCTCTTCGGTATATGACCCATCTAACATCTCCCCCAGCAGTGTGCTTTCTTCATCAATTCCTGTCTTACCCATTAATGATTTCTCAATACTTCCCGAAACTATTACTAAGAAACTCACAGGCTTAGACTTGTCAAAGGGTGCAGGGCCTGATGATATTCCCCCAATATTTTGGTCGCGGTGTGCTCGTTTTGTGTCCTGTCCCTTAGCACATATATTTAACACCTCTCTTAAAACAGGGATATTTCCGAATACTTGGAAACGGGCGAGAATAGTGCCTATTCACAAATCTGGAAGTCGTAAGGTTGTGTCCAATTACCGACCTATTTCAATTCTCTGCACCTTGTCCAAGGTCTTTGAATCGATCGTATATCCTGTGCTGTACGATCAAGTCCAGAACTATCTTTCGCCGACCCAACATGGCTTTATAGTGAAAAGATCAACCACTACAAATCTCGTCACCTACACTACCAAATTAACTTGTGCCGTCGACCGGGGTATGCAAGTTGATGCTATATACACCGATTTTTCGAAGGCCTTCGATAAGGTAAATCACGAGCTATTACTGCATAAACTCGA